TCCCTCCAAGGGAAGCCCATCTGCAGGATCCAGGGGTCCATGATGTTTTTCACAGTCTGAGGCAGCGTGATGGCCGTCTGCTGGTTCACAGCCTGAAGAGGACACACAGGGGAGGGAGCAGTCAGAGTGAGGGCGAGAGCCGTGGACACCCCGTGGGGGCCTGGGGACCGGCTGAAGGTGGTGGCTACGGTACTCAGTGGTCTTTTCTCTCTCTTTCCATCCATATGTATTGTTTTCATAATAACAGCAACATGCCAACAATGTCTGTTAATAACTGAGAAAATAAAAACAACGGGGCAAAGAAAGGCGGGCAGGAGAGTGTGTTGGAGGTACAGGCTGAGAAGGGGGGAGGCTCCGGGGGCTGCAGAAAGAGGGGGCTCAGGGAAGGAGGGAACCGGAGGGAGGGATGGAGCTGGCGGGGCACCTGGCATGGAGGAGGGCTCATCTTCGGAGGAGGCGTGGGAAACTGAGGCAGGGCAAGGAAGCCGATGGAAGTGGAGGGGAGGGACCGAGTCAGTCTGGGAGGAGAGGAGGGGGACCAGGCTCCTGGAGATGGAACCTGAGCTGGAGGTTGGCCAAGAGGAGCCTGGAGCCCCCGCTGGGGCTGTGACAAAGCCCTGGTCCCCCTCCCTGGTCAGACTAGCCTTAGAGCCAGGGCACCTGGGGGCTGGAGGGGGCATTTGGGGTGAGGAGGGCCCCAGGGAAGGGGTGGGGCCGCTGGGAGGGAGAGGAAGAGGGGGGGATGGAGGAGAACGGGCAGACTCCAGCCCAGGAGCAGGGAGGGGCGGCGGGAGGTGGTCAGAGGGTCTGCCCCACAGACGGGACTGCTCTGGGTCTGAGCTGACAGGACTGTAAGGTGGGGCCGGATGGGTAGGTCCCAGCTTGTGCTGAGGGGTGCTGGGGTGCAAAGTCGTGCTGGGGAGGGGCCGGGAGGGCACAGGGCAGCCAGGACTGCTGAGCAGGTTGAATGGCTCCAAAGTTCCTGGCAGAGGAGGGCTCGGGCCTAAGAGCCGGGAGGCCCGTGTCCTGAGCACTAAGAGGCGTGGATTCCTGGGTTCCCTTCACGGAGCTCGCAACGGGGTGCGGCAGGCCGTCTGCGGGGCCTTGGCCCACAGTTCTCACACCCCCTCCTTCAAGGACACCCCCTCCTTCAAGGGGCTATCATAGTGCCCATTCTCCCAATCACCAACCAAAGCTCCAAATGACCTGCCTGGGCTGGTGGGCAGTGAGCGGGACACATTCCTTTACACGGGTGCTCCCCTCCCCCCCTCCCCCAGGGACATCCAACATCTCAGGACCCCAATAGAATGGCTCGGGGGGGAGGGCAGGCTGTTACCCACCTTCTGCAGGTGCTCCCACAGGTCCAGGTAAGTGGTGCTGTTGTAGGAAAAGGTCTGGAGATAGGACTGTGGAAAGAGGCCGAGGTGAGCGCTAAACTGGTGCTCTAAGCTCCACTACTCCGCCCGGGTGGTAGGCTGGGCTTGGGGACCAGGGCAGGGCTGGAGGGAAGCCCCCCCCCTGCCCGCGCCCCCCACCCAGGGCTGGC